AGCACAGCAGGACCCTGTTTCAGAATTGAAGAGGGTGGGGCCGTAGCTCCTGGTGAGGCCCCCGTTGCTCATTCCAGAGACCCTGGGGCAGTTATCACCATTATCTCCCGTCACAGGTTCAAAATGGTTAAATCCTGGGTGCGTGGACACACAGACTCCTACTAGGAGGATTTAGCCCATGTTCTATGAACAAGGCTGTGTTTTGTAAAATAATTTATTAATTTTTGAGACAGGGTCCCACTATACAGCCCTGGCTGGCCTCGAACTCATGGTGATTTTCCTGCCTCAGCCTTCTGAGTGCTGGGGTTAGAGGTGTGTTCCATACACCTGACAAGCCTTGTGTTATAATTCTTTTGCTATGTGATCGCCTTCGACTCTATGTTTTGTTTTTGTTGTGGTTGAGACAGGGACCCACCATATAGTCCAGGCTGCCCTTGAAGTCATGGCGATCCTCCTGCTTCAGCCTCCCCAGTGCTGGGAACACGGACAGGTGCCACCACGTGCACCTAGTGAGACCAGTATCATGGCCGACATCTTCCAAAGAAGAGCTTATCAAGGTGCAGCATATACTGATAGTCATATATTGGTATTTATATACATAAGTCATGTGCGCGTATTGGGCAGTAAGATGGTGGGAAAATGTATTTCTTACTAAAATAATGGCCCAAGTTGAGGGCTGCTGATGTTGTATACGTCATGGTACATGTACAATGTGTGAACATCTCTAGGCTGGGTGCAGTGACTTATTTACGCCCGTGAGCCTCACTATTGTAGAGGCTGAGGCAGGAGGGTCTCACGTTTGAGGCTGGCCTGGGCAACTTAGCATTACCCTGTTAAAAAGGGCCAAGAAGGAAAAAAAAGCAGGGGGCCAAGGATGTAGCTCAGTAGCAGAGCCCCTCTGGGTTTGATCCTCAGTGCCACAATAAAGTAAAATAAACAGGAGAGAAGGGCCGGGCATGTGGCTCAGGGTACATCTCCCGGGTTTGACTGCTAGTACCGCACAGTGACTGTAACCAGAGTATACAAGTGGTAATTTTACTAGATCTGTTCCCCTGGAAGAGGCTTCTAACAAAGGAAAACCTGAACAATAAGATTTCCTTCCCAAGCGCTGTGCCCCTCTTCGGCGTCCTCGGAAGGAGCAGGGCGGGGCTGGGCGCAGTTTGAACCCCCCCCGCCACGCCCGCCCTGGAC